AACAAAATCCAAAACGATTCTCATTCATTTCCTCTTTTTTTAAAATTTTCTCAGTGAATATCACACTGTGAAAAGAAATCCACTAAATGACTGCCTGGAGAGATCTGGCTTTTAGGAAGATCTTGCCTGAGAAAAGAATCATATTTAAACACTAAAATGGAAAGGATCCTTTTGATAAGGGTATTTCCTATAGCAGCCCTGACAATTTCTCCCAACTTGTCACAAAAAATACCTAATGAGAAAAACAAAATTCAGAACAATCTGTCTTATAGTCAATCTACTGCAAAGTTTTAGAGTATTTCTTATTAACTACAAACCTACAGAGCAACATGAGGACCACAAAAGGTATGTGCTATGTATTTACCACCAGAAAAACAGAAACCCTACCCTCATGAAACAATCAGGAAGGTGTCTACGTCTCCACTTTGGCACAGGCTTCTCTGTATTTGCCAACCAGAAAGCTGGGTGACAGGCCACACAACACAGAAACTGTGAGTAGGGTGGCCGGAGTGTCAGAAAACTCAGCTGGTACTTCATTATAACAGCCCCCCAAACCCAAGCTTCCCAATAACAACTGGTCAAGCATTAAAACAGGAGTGAACACATAACGCTGTAATTCCGTCCAGGGCAGTGGCTGGAGGGACTCTCACAGGGGAGATGTCAGGTTTTCATATTTTCCACCCATGGAGGGTGTTAGAGACCCAGGAGAGAAGATAGGCGAGGCTCCCAGTTCACTGGAGGAGCTGCCTTAACTGGATACTTCCAGGCAGAGGAAATGGAGCTCCTTAACTGGACACCGTGTGGAAGTGAAGTGTGATTCTGCAACACCCAGCAGGATAACACCAAGAAGGATAACAAGGAGGGCCCAGAGCAAGCAGACACTGAATCTGTTTGCTAACTGAGGTTCAGATATAGCTGGTCTCCTTGTTTTGAAAGGGATACAAGAGTAACAAAAACATACACAGGATCTATAGAAAGAATGAGGCAGAACACAATTTCAAGGACTCCAAGGGAGAAAAACCATGCTTTAAAAAAAATGTTTCAATAGAGACTTTCCTGGTGGTCCAGTGGTTAAGACGCTGTGCTTCCACTCAGGGGCTGTGGGTTCGATCCCTGGTCAGGGGACTAAGATCCCATATGCCAAGTGGTGTGGGGTGAGGAGGGGGCTAGTGTTAACAGTAACAACAACGAAAACTACAAGACTGTTGACTTCAGTAAGAAGAGACCTCTATGAATCTGGAGCAGAAGAAAAGGATGGTGATGATGGTAACTGCTGACAATTACTACCTGTGCCTTCTTTTCAGATACTATTCCAAACTACTGACACATATTAACCAACTAATTTCCCCTAATGATTAACACAGCAATAATCGTTACTACTCCCTTTTACAGAGGAGGAAAACAGGCTGAAGCCCAGAGAGGGTTGAATCACTTAGCTGACAACACACAGCTCAAGCGTGGCAGGATAATTCCACTCCCAGCCATCTGATCTCTAATACTCTTAAGACCTCTAATACGCTAAGAGCTAGGACTTCTCATGACACAAGAAGTCATCATTTTGGTTTTGAAAATTAAACACAGATCAGGCTGACATGAAAAGAACTGGGAGAGATCGGAAAGGTTCAGGAACATTAAAAAGGCCCAACGGAATAAAACTCTACTCCAGAAAGCAACATGGACATTGGAAGCAAAGCACATCAGCCAAGGGACCAAACAAGAAGAGAAACTCTCCTGGACTTCAGAGAAACGAGACGATAAAAACCATGAGAAAGCAAAGCATATATGTGGGTCTGCGTGTCTGTGTGTGTGTGACAAAACATGGCCAAGGTTTCTTACAATATATTTTCAAAAGAGAAGGGTGGATAGGACTTATCCATTCACTCTCATACCTTGAAAAGGTGACACAGAACAATGCAGGAGGGGAAGAGGCCAGATTACAATGTTTAAGAAAAGGGTTATCAAAATAAAGCAGAAAGATCTGAGAACTTCCCACACACACAAAATCGGCTCTGCCACATCCCCATCCAGGCCTCGCACTGTGACCACTGCCCAGCTGAGTCAGTGGAGGGGGCTGGGGGTCAGGCAACATCCCTGACCTAACAGAGCAGGGTGGGAATGAATGGAGCCTGGGCAGGTGCGGTGCAAAGCGAAGCTCTTAGCCTCTGTACGATACCGCCTCCAGCCTCAGTATTATTGAGTTTCTTTGAAGAAATGAAAACACGTGGAACTGCAGCAATAATCAAAATCAGGACTGAAGTCAACTTTCCTGAAATGAAAACAATACTTCAGTATATAGATCAAAAGGACTAACTCTCTTTCAGACAAAATGAATGAAAATAGACCTGAACAAGACATTAACTTAGCAAACTGAATTACAAGGGCTGTTCAGTGTTGTTGTTGGTATTGTTGTTGTTATTATGATGAGTCTGAGCTCCAAGGCAGGACAAAAAAAATTTAAAAAGGTTTTGTGAAAGAACAAAGTAGGCTGGCCTCTGACATGTCTATGAAAATAAAGGTTAGACAAAAGAGAGCAGGGTCTCCAAAGCTTTGAGAGAAAATAGTTCAACTCAGAATTCTATATTAAATTAATCCTAGTTTATATATGAAGTCAACACAGGCAAAAGATCAGAAAATAAACCTTGTACATATTTATCCTGAAAGTTACCTAAAAATGAACGCCGGTAACACACATATTCTATGTGTGACTGTATTTCAAAATTTGGAACTCAAAGGTAAAAAAGTCCTGAAGTAAAAGATTAGAAATGAGCACCAGCTGAATGAACAGAGTAAATTTTAAAGAACTGTCAGAATTAGGACTTTAAAACTGAATACAAATATGAAAGGTTATCTCTGAAATAGAAGGTAGTGATTTTTGTAGAAATCCTAACACACTAAAGAAAGAAAAACCACAACAGCCATTGAAAGATGCATGAGATCTAGATATCTGGAGTTGATCCTTTTAATAATCTTTACATTGCTATCATCACTAACCACTTTACCAGATCATGCTGTATTATTAGCTCCTCAGTTTTCACAATACAGACTAACCCATGGAGAGGGCTAGGTTTCATAACTATGTGCACTGAAATATTTCTTTTCAAGTCTATCAATGCTGGTAAAATATATGAGAAAACTATTTTTTAAAATGCATCATGGGGGCTTCCCTGATGGCTCAATGGCAAAGAATTCACCTGCCCATGCAGGAGACACAGGTTCAATCCCTGGTCTGGGAAGATCCCACATGCCATGGAGTAACTAAGCCTGTGTACCACAGCTATTGAGTCTGTGCTCCAGAGCCTGGGAACCGCAACTATTGAGCCCTGACACCACAACAAGAGAAGCCACCACACGGCTGCTTCATGTGACTCGAGAGTGGCCCCTGCTGGCCACAGCTAGAGGAAAGCCCAGGCAGCAGTGAAGACCCAGCACAGCCAGGAAATAAAGTTATCAAAAAAAAAAAAAAAGGCATCATGGGTCTATAGCAAAATATGGCAGTTACAATCTGATTAAAATAGGAAAACAGAGGTGTGTGCCAAGAAGTGCACCAGGAGATATCTGAGGGTCATCTCATTATCCACCAGACACAGTAGATAAAATATCCCACTTCACCATATCCAATAATAATTCTTCAAAATTTAGAACTTCGAAAATTCTTAGATGAAGTATCTTCCTAAAAGTTCTCTTACAATTCAAAAACAATATTCTCCTTCAACAATTAAATTGGTATTCACCCAGAAGGAATTCCCCCTTACCTTTCAGAAAATAAAAATGGAGATAATCTTTCATTATCGATAAAAATGTTTCAACAGTTTGGATAATTCTCAATTTCTGCACATACCAACTCTTCCCTTATCACTCTTTTGACAGTCTGGTTCATTTCAGAATTTCAGCAAGTACTGTAAAATTTGATAGTGCTTTTTGAAAAGCATGAGTGTTCCAATGACTTTCAAAAGACTCTTTGGGCAACATTAGGCTTAGATACATCAAAATGCACCCGTGTATGTCAAGAAGACATCATTTTTCTTCTGTTAACAGATTAAATGGGTATAAATCTTTTACACTGAGTACATTGTTTTTAATTTACTCATCCTAATGGACCACTGAATTTAGATCACATAAAGAAACATAAAATTAGATTAGGAAATCTGCTGTATGCAGGCAAGAATATGTGAGGGTCTGTAATGATTCTTAATGCATTCTCTTCTTAAACTGTTATTTTAGAAGAGTAGCTTAAATATACTGTGCATTAGAATTTTATCATTGCAAACCAACATTAGAAAAGCCTTTCATTGACTGAAAAACAAAAAAGACATTCTTGTAAGTGGAAAATCAATCACCACAACCACTAAATGTCACAGCTCAACATCAGCAAGAAGCACTGATAATTGTTAGTTATACACTGCACAAATGATATATGTCCTTGGTTGAGGAAGTGGGGGCCAGGTTTTTAGAAAACTGTACATATATTGATTTTACATTTATTTAATGTGGCCATTGCAAGACACTTTATTCTTCTGATAAACTATGACTGCTTATCAAAAGATTCTATAATTCAAGAGAAACATTCATAACTGGTGTGTGAAAATGAAAACCACAGGCCCACAGAAATCATGCCCACAAAATCCAATTTTGTGGATTTATGGCAGAGAGGCATTAAACCACTGTCTTGCAGGAACTGCAAACCAGTCACTGAAGTCTAAGTGGCACGCCAGTAATGATTAAGGTGACATGTCCCCCTGCCACAGTTGTTAATCAGCTTAATACTAGTCACATTATTGACATTCTTGTAATTACTTTTCCTTACGGCACATTAGCGCAAAATATATTTTACTTTAATTATGAGCGATCAGGAGTAAGTCCGATACACAAAAAGAATAATCAAGGTTCTCCAAATGCAGATATCCAGTAAGTGCAGTGCTGTTCCGAGGCCCTGGAAGTGGTTACATCACAGCCCCTGGGGTTAGAGCAGCACTTTCCATGTGATCAGGCAATCCCCATACCTTGCCATCCTCTGCACACACGCCCATGTGTTCTCCACTTTCATCCAGGCTAACCTGATTTATCTTCACAGGACTCTATTAAAAAAAAAGAACAAACAAACATGAAAAACATTTCTATGTATCAGAAGTCAAATGTTTCACCTCTTTGTAAAATGTAAATGATACAAGTTGTCTATTAGTTTAGACGTATGAGTCCAAGACATAGTTTGCTTTTGCAAATGAAAATGGTAAAATATAGCTTTGTTCCCAGACATACAATAAGGGGAGAAACCTCAGATTTCCCCAAATTACCTATTTCACATTCTGAAGTCCCGCTAAAATGGTATTTTTCTTACTTGCTTATATGCCTTTTTATTTATTCTGTTCTATTTACTCCAGAGTCCGATAATTCTTCCCTAGCCAAATTCATTCAAAGAACAAAAATCCCAAATAAAAATCATGATGTAATGAAAACTGTTAGCTTTTTAAAAAATTGAAGTATAGCTTGTTTCTGGTGAATAGCAAAGTAATTCAGTTTTACACACACGTGCACACACATACTTTTTCATATCCTTTTCCATTATCGTTTATTACAGGATATTGAACATAGTTCCTTGTGCTATACAATAGGACCTTGTTCTTTACCTATTTTATGTATAATAGTGTGTAGCTTTTAATCCCAAAATCCTAATTTACCACTCCCTCACCTGCTTTCCCGTTTGGTAACCATACGTTTGTTTTCTATGTCCATGAATCTGTTTCTGCTGTATCATATTTTAGATTCCATATATAAGTGATATCATATGGTATTAGTCTTTCTGACTTCCTTTACTTGTTATGACAATCTCTATGTCCATCCAAGTTGCTTCAAATGGCATTATTTGGTTCTTTCTTATGTCTGAGTAACATTCTTTTGTATGTATATACACATCTTCTGTATCCATTCATTGGTTGATAGATGTCATGGTTGCTTCCATGTCTTGGCTACTGTTAAAGGGTGCTACAGTGAATGCTGGGATGCAGGTGTCTTTTGGAATTCAGTTCAGCTCAGTAGTGTCTGACTCTTTGCAACCCCATGAATCGCAGCACGCCAGGTCTCCCTGTCCGTCACCAACTCCCAGAGTTTACTCAACTCATGCCCATCGAGTCGGTGATGCCATCCAGCCATCTCATCCTCTGTCGTCCCCTTCTCCTCCCTCCCCCAATCCCTCCCAGCATCAGGGTCTAGCAACTCTAAAATCAGTTGTTTTAATCTGGCTTATCAGCCAATTCATTTGTTCTTCTCTTATAAATTACAAAATCAACTTTTTATTTATACTTTATGCTTATTACTTTCTGGGGGAAATCCACAGGGTCTGATATTAAGTTTGTCATATCCTAACTTTGTCATCCTCCAATCTTTGGAGTAATCTCAAATTAAAAAATCTGTGAAGATAGGAATTAGGCATTCTACTTTAGATGTATTTTCCCTAGAGGAAACACACTGCACATTTAATATTTTTCACAGATTCCAGTTCTCTATGTAGCCAGCTGTTTTCTCACTATAATATTCACACAGGTGATTTTCTAAATGGAAGTCAAAATTAGTAAATGATGACAACAGTAAAAAAAAAAAAAAAAAAAGGCAAGCACTTCTTTTCCTTTTTCATTTTTAAAAATTTCTTTCTTTTTGAATGCAACAAGTGGTATGTGCGATCTTAGTTCCCTGACGAGAGATCAACCCTGTGCCCCCTGCACTGGAAGCATAGTCTTAACCACGGGACCACCAGGAAAGTCCTTTTTCTTCTAGAATGGTGACAGTATCCAACCACCTTTCACAAAACATGATAGAACAAATTAACCATGAAAAGAGAAATAAGCCTTCATCATTACAATATAAGCCTGCAAATTAGTTTTCCAAAATACATAACCTTAAAATAATCTGGCTAGTGCATACAAATAAAATGGAAATACACCAAATTGATTGTTCCATGTTTACTGGAAAATATCTCTGAGCTAGAAAACAATGGCCAGGGTAGACCAAGACTCCCAGACCTTGAAAGGCCACTCAGGAACTGAAGACTCTGAGAGAAATTCCCATGTTACAGGTGGAGACAGCTGACTATAGAACCCTGTGTTATCCAGATCCTGAAATGCAGCTCATGAAAGCCAAGCTATCTCCTTAAAAGTTCCTAAAATGTTAAAAGAGGAAAGGACCTCCCAGACAGATCTTTGATCTATTTACAAGAGAATAAACCAATCCCAGATGAGATTCACAACAAAGGACAGAGCCAGAGTTCTGACCTTGAGAGCAGTGAAGATGCTTTGTGATGGGCAGCAAAGAAGCTGTAAAACAAAAGCTGAACTGAGAAAGCATTGAGGCTGGTATGTCTAGACTTCTGGTCAATGAGTCTGAATGACCGGCTTTTACAGTCTCCTTTGGATATGTTGTTTCCTCACTGAGTACCTCCTATTAACTTTCTGATTCTGACCTTTTGTTCATCAAACAATTTAATACCCATTTTACTCTTGGCAAATATAAACCCCACCTACCTCTGATTGTAACTTAATTGACATTTGATTATAATCTACCTCAGACTGTAATTTAATAGGTGCACAGAGCATGGTCACTGCCAAGGTTTCCTGTCCCAACCAATGAGGTGGTATCCACATGTGGCTATACCAAAAGTTTAATTAGTCAAAGTCAATCACAGTTAAAAATTCATTTCCCCACTTGTGCCTGCACATGCCAAGCACGGAATAGCCATATGTGACCAGCAGATAACATATGAGAAAGCACACAGATCACGGAAGGTTTTCATCATTTCAGAGAGTTCTAAGGGACAGCATCATCCCAGGCCCATAAGACTGAGCCACAGTGCTTCTTCACAAGGCTCTCTGTACAACTTACAGTCAGAAGTGTATCTTCTCCCCACTTATCTGTCAAATTGTTTTCTGTCATTTCTTCTTGGACTCTGTGCTCATGGCCTGTTCTAAGATTCTCAGAATTGCACTGTATTATTTTTAAAAACCTGGCATACATGTTAGCTGAACCTCACAACTTTTGAGGAAAGCAGTCAGTCTAAGATGGTTATCTCCATCTCACGATAAGGAAAATGAGGCCTCAAGAGTTTACTTGTGAGCTCATCTTCACAATTAAAACAAATCCCAAATCATGAGTCTGATCTTTCTTTCTGAAAGGGCTTCCTGTCTGAAAGGGCTCTTCCTGATGTCTTCCCAATCTGTAGTAATGACTGATACATTCTTCTAGTTGCTCAAGACAAAAAACTCTGGATCCATTCTTTACTCTTTTCTTCCAGGCTTTACCTCGTTATCTGTCAGCAATTCCTACTACCTCTTCAAACAAAATTTCATCACTTTCACCACCCCAACAGCTGCCATCATGGTCCAAGCTACCATCATCCTTGTTTGAATTACTGTAACTGTCTCCTAGCTAGTAGACCCACTTCTTCCCTAATTCTCCTAGAAATCCCCTAGAAATTCAACAAACTAGAGAGTATATGTTGTTAATAGGTGGATCAGACAATGTGATTCCTTTGTTCTAAACTCTCCAATGGCCTCCCATCTCAGGATAAGGTCCAAAGTGCTCACTATGACCTGACGGTCTGAAATGTTATGGCGAGAGCCCGGCCTTATCCTCTCTCGGCCATGTTCTCTCTCCTCCAGCCACAATGATCTTCTTGCTGTTTCGCCAGCCCTAGAACCTCTGAATTTGTTTGCCAGGGCTTTTCTGCCAACTCTTCACTGGTAATCATCTTGTCGGTGATACTCTCTGGCCACTGGAGCTGAAGTTTCAACACTCTGCCTAAACATTTCACAGCTGTTATATGTATTTTTTCTCCTTAGCACTCACCACTATTTCACTATGTATTTTACATATTCATCTTATTTACTTTCATGAAACATAGGTCAAAGAATACAAACTTTCAATCGTACACAAACTCTTTCAGAGAACAGAATAAAAAGGAAGTCCTCCTTGACTCACTTTACTAGGACAGCAGAACCTTGCAACAGCAAAGCTCAACAAAGGCTGTTAGAAGAAAGAAAAAATACAAGTAAATCTCACTCATGAAAACAAAGGAAAAATCCTAAAGAAGACATTAACAAAGGCAGCGTATCTAGAATAGACAACTTTATTTCAGAAATACCAGGCTGATATATGAAAATTAACATATATTTTTGCATTGATAAAATAAAAGAGGAATATCATAAGATCATCTCAAGAAGAAATTTATAAGATCATTACAATGATGCAAAAAGTGTTTGATGAAACTCAACACTCATTCATGGTAAAACTTCTTAGTATGTTAGGATAAAACTTCCTCAATTTCACTTAAGGTGAAATGTTTCACGCTCTCCTTTTGCTGTCTTTACAATATTGACTCTTCTAATCCATAAACATGGAGCAGTTCTCCATTTATTAGGCCTTCTTTAATGTCTCTAAATAAAGTTTCCTATGACTTCCCTTGGAGGTCTCATCATGCTTTGTTTTATTCTGGGAGTAGCAATGACAGTCAGCAGGATTTTCTCATTCCTGATATGTACTATGTAACTCCATTTATATAATCTACAAAAATAGGCAAAACTACACCATAGTGTCCAGGGGATGTACACAGAAGACATAAAACAAAAAAGAAAAGCTAAGCATTTATTACCAAAAAGGTCAATACAGCAGTTCCTTCCAAGAGTACTGTGCATGGAAATGGGAGAAGGGATCACAGAGTCTATTCTTGACAGAACAGTAGTGATAAGATTGCTTCCTTTATTACTATTTGTTCTACTGAGCATTTTAAAGTGTACTTTAAAGAGTTATATTTCAAAATAAAAGCAAACATCAAAGATTTCTAAATAAAATCTAAAAGAATTTGCCCATGAAAATGTCTGGGACCTATGCCTTTAATGGGTTATTTTTTGGTTTACATTTTTCCCCCGTAACTGTCAAGCTACTCAAATGTACTAATTCTATTCTGGTCATTTATATTTTCCCAAAAAACTGTATATTTCAGATTCTTAATGATGAAATAGTTTTATTTTGTATTCTTATAATATTTTAATAATACCAATGATATTAATACTATCTAGGAAATAGTAACACA